GCTCAACTTTGCTGAAAACACTGACTATATCTTTAAGAACTGTTCTCAGAGACTCTACCTTTTAAGAAGACCTGGGGGTTACCCGACTTGAGGTTGTGTTCAACTTCTAGTTAGGTAGAGGTTGTTGAATTAAAATGTTAAAACTAAACATTTTAACTTGAGTTTCAACTCAACTCAAGTTAAAACAACATTTTAACTAAAGTTTTAATTTTTCATCTCCTTGGCTGGTTTGGTCACATGAGCTGCAGACTAACAGACAATCTTTTAAGAATAGTTTGAATGGCAGGTATAACAGCAGGTAAATGGTGGTGAAACCAAAAACAACTCTGTCTCAACTGTTTGCTTAAAGAACATGAAAGACGGCAAGAAATATTTTAGCAGGGAGCATCCATCCTCATTATTTATCAGTTTGAACCTCTGAGCTCATGAAGGTGTTACTGTGTTCCTCTGGCAACAAAAACATCTATTAGAAGTTATTTATTGACAGTGCAATAATTATTCTTAACCAAACTAATGATAACATTTACCTTATAGCGTTTTGCTCTATTCACAAATTGTTGATAATGTGATTCTATGAATATGATTTATCATATTAGTTGAAGGAAAATGTCCATCTTGATAGATTAAATAATTTCATCTTATTTTTTCCTATATGTAAGACTCACTATAAAAACAATGAGAATGTCTTGAAGAGATTCACCAAGTTTGAATTTATGACAAGGCTTTCACCATGATTAACGTTGTAGCTCAGGGGTCCCCAAACTTTTTCCTGTGAGGGCCACATAACTTTTCCCTTCTCTGGTGGGGGGGGCAGAGTGAGTTTGTAACAGAAAAAGTGTGACGATTGCAGAAGTGCCTAAATGTAAAAATGTATTGTTTTCTAGAAAACACAATCAAATAACCCTCTCTGGGTTCTTCACGGAAAAAATCCAGGAAATAACACTATATATGAAATAAATACGGTATATGAAAAAAAATCTAAATGCTCTCAGGTATTGTTCACGGGGCCGGACCAAATGTGGAGGCAGGCCGAATCCGGCCCGCGGGCCGTAGTTTGGGGACCACTGTTGTATCTGCTTAACAACCCTGCTTGTAACAACCTGGGTTGTTATTCTGCTGTACCCAATTCATTTGTTTATTGATTTTTGCTTAATTAAATTTCTTACGTATACATTGCTAATGGTATTTTTTATTATAGTTGATCATGTTGTTTTTCAAGTTTCCTTATTTCCTTTGTTCCTTCTATGATTGGAGATATATATATATATATATATATATATATATATATATATATATATATATATATTATTTATAATGAATAAAAGTATTATTTAATTAACTCTACATTCTTAAGAAAATGAAAAAATATGTTTTATAAGATAATTTATCTTTTATCTTTTACTGGCCACAGATAAATGATAAATGATCTTTTATCTTTTGCCAGTAATGCCGAAATTAATAGTAAATAATAAAGACGTTGGGGTATTGTGATTTAGTAATGCAACTATATTAGTTGTGTTACCACCCCCACGCCACTAGAGGCAGTAGCAGGCCCGAAAAGATGCGATTAAGGAGCAGATTTAGAAGTACACCGAAAGCTACAGAATTTGTTAAAAACTGTGAGCTGCGCTGCAGTAAATAAAAGAGAGAAGTTCAAATACATTCTGAGAGTGAAACTCCTTCCTAAAGGTGAAAATATATCAGATTTAAAAAGGAAATAAAAACGGAAGGCCGCAGATAATAAAGGAAATAGCGCCCCCTTCACTTCCGGAGTGTAATGGTTCCATTTCCAAATAAGGTATGAGAATGACAGTGGTCTGTCACCGCCCCTTTCTGTTTTCTGCAGCGAAATCCTTCTCAGTTGCTAAATAAAACACATAAAGGGTAACTTCGACTAATATAGTAGCTTTTAATTTGCTAATTAAAATTGGAGAGAAAAAACTTTAGCTACATTAATGTACAGCAAGGTAGCATTAGCTTGAATTGCTCTTAGCTAACTTTACAGAGAAAGAGATGCATAGTGTTTTTTTTCTCAAAGAAAATTTAAAGTTAAGACGCATATCTAATATGGAGTAGGTGACATACTTTAACTTCTTTTTAAACAGGAGGTCTGGCCATTATAACTTGTGCTAGATAAGCCAACATGATGGAAAACTTTTTCTTCACTAACACACTGCACGTCTGTTGGTGCACTGCTGCCTCTCACAGGTAGAGATGGCATTATGCACTACTTAGACATTTTTGTCTTGGTTATTGTCAAGTTGACATAAAAACATTTTAAACAATGTCAGCTTTGCATAGCACTTAATGACATTGTTATAACTGGTCCTACTGGTTTCACTTTACTTGAGGTAAAAGTTAATTCCTGTTATTATGGCATTTCACTGTGTAGTAACTCTTAATGACATCTTTATAACTAGTGCTACTTGTTTCATTTTACTTGAGGTAAGAGTTAATATTAATGACTGGTCTTATAGCATTTGACAGTGTAATAATGCTTAATGAGGTCTGTAACTAGTCCAATGTGTAAGATAAAACATTAATGACGTAATTACGATGGTCTCATGATTGTTACAGTTAAGACTAATAACAAATGACGATTTGTATCTTTGTGTAGTGATACTTAAATATCTATAACGTTGTAAATTTTTATTACTGTAATGACATATTTATGACAGATGATGATTCTTGTTTAGTGTCAAGTTGCCATAACAAGGACTTTGTCTCGTTATGACAAGTTGACAAGTCAACTTGTCATAACTAGGTTACGTAATAAAGATATGACATAACATATCTTTATGTAACCTTGTCATAACAAAGATAATTTTTGGAATGATTAAAGATGAGTTGTCATAATAAAGACATTTTGTTTAGTTTAATGTCAAAGTGTCATAACACAGACATTTTAAATAGTGACAACTTTGCATTACAAGTGTCTTTATTTATCAAATGACAGTTAACAACAGCCATAAATATAGACAAAGACTTTTTCATGTTCATGACAGGTGTTATGTCATATTTATGATGGTGTCATGTCAGTCTTATGCGTAAGGTAAGTAAAGTGTTGCCAAATAATGTATTCTTGCCTGGGTTCTGAAGGCGATGTGCAATAATGGGTGCTGACACAACGTGACGTCGACTGATAATCCCTCTATTCAGGGTTTTCACTTATCCTGCCTTCTGAAATTGGGCCCTGGTAGTTTCTTGCCATGCGTTTTCATCCGTCCTGATTCTCAAATATGCTAGAAGTTCAAGGCTGAGCAGATAATCATGTGAGCCTGTTCCTTGTCCTGCAGGAGATGGAGTTTAATTCCAAGAAAGCCCTTCAGCAGACTCTGCTGAAATCAAGAAGGACCAAGACTTTGATTGATGCCAGAGCAATTGAAGGTAACTTACACACACAGTACTCATTCTTGCTGCCTGGGTAAGCCTGAAACTAAAGGATTGAGAATTCAGATGTTTGGTTCTCTTGCTGTCTGCAGTGGTGAATGTCTCTCCCTCTCAACACCTCTTCAACTCTCTGGTGAGCGTCAGTGTGCAGGAGGATGAGTTGCTAAGCCAGGTGCTGCAGGCCAAGCTAATATTGGCCCCACTGCCTTCCCACTACTATAAGTCAGCAGAGAGTCCCTCCCTCAACTTCTTCATCACCTCTGAGCTGTTCAGAAAGAAACCTGTCCAACAAGAAGAGGAGCCAGCCAAGTGTAAACCTTTCCCAATGGCATCCCCGGCCTACTCTACCTTTGACCTATACAGGAGACAGAGATGCTGGGAGGCCATACCCTAACATACACATTAGAAATTTTCATTTATAAATGTAACCTATATCTATTCTTTATGTTGTCTCATAAAGGGTTCTGGTTTTATATTCACTTATTTATTTAGCCTCAGGGGCAATCAGTTTTGATTTCATTTGTTATTAGATGCTGTAATTATTCTTAAAATTCTATGTCGAAGGCTTTAAAATTAGTTTTCTGATTCCTCTGCGTAAAAAAGTCATTAACAGCTGGTTTAACCAATTGTGGTGCTTGTAAATTCTTTTCATGATGTCTATTTAATTGTTTTTAGTGTTAAATTTATTAAAGATAAATTTTCATAACTAGGTTGTGGTAGTCTTCTTTTCCACTGCAGCTACATGCTCAGTATCAGGGGTTTCTGTAAAATTAACAATTCAATAAACTGTCCACTGTGACAACATGCTCATCCAGGAGGAGGGATTGCTTTAAGTGGACATCATTAGAGGTGAGGGGAGACTGGCAGCTAACCTCCTGCAGTAGAGCCTCTCTCCCAGCTGCCCTTTATGCCCTTAAAATTATGCTAACAAAAACTAATCGCTAAGCCTCCAGTTAATTAACTAATTAACCAAAAATGTGTCCTTAAAAAACCTTATGGTCCTGCTGTCAAACACAGTCTGACTCGCGCGCTGCAGTCACAGGCAAATGGGGTATATGCCACAGACATAATGCGTAGACGCCTCATGGAGCGGGTCGGCACGTTGCTGAGATACGTCACATCGTCCGCCATATTGAATGTGGCTTATGTGCCAGTAAGTTAATACAAGTAAATGGACCGAACTTTATAAAGTGCTGTTCTACAAAGGATTTTAAATTAATTCCTGTCATTGACACATTTTCTCACACACATTAATATATTTGGTAATCTAAGAAATGACTAAAGACAAAGTTTCTAACTTTTGATGTGATTATTTAAT